TTTATCATTCTATTCCACACGTGGAGTTGATTTCGTATGGTCTCGTTTCGGATGGCTTCGTTTTGTTCTTTTTCTTCTTCCCTCTGCTAGTTTTGTATGTTTTCGCATTGTTTCGTCGCGACGTCTTTGGATGGTAAGTTACGGACCAACACGATGACACCCTGACTAAATTGAGTTTGCTTTTCAATCACCTTTATTTCTCACTGCACGTTCAATACATTTCTTGTCCCTGTCGGTAAAATTTCTAGCAACTTGCTGCTCGAGTCTCTCGCCAAACTATTTTAACTCTTTCAAGTTAGGTAGGACCTGCATCTTAGCGTACCTGCCGATCAGCGACACAAGGCGAGAGTAGCATTTGTTCCAGATACTTCGATAATAGTTAGAATCGAGCGAGGAAAAGAAGGCGTTGCCTGCATTGTAATATTACTTTCTATTTAACAAATACATTCCAAGTTGCCGTGTGTCTGTTCAGTAATAGATCACTTTTGCAAGTAAAAAGCATATCCCTCCCGCAAAACAGCGAAGCAATCGAGGCGGGAAGGAAATAAAAATTTAGATAACTTCTTCAATGATAATTTTCACTGATTAAAAGAGGTGTCTGAGAGACCATAAATTTCGTTTCTGATATTCCTGGGCTGATATCACTATGAATCACGGACACGAAAATGATCAATCCGCACGAAGTAGAGTACGTTGGCCAATGTCCTGTACCATATACTTGGTCAATAAAATATATCATTAAGTGGTCTTGCGTCTCAGAAGCAGCGAAAGCGTTTTGGAACGCGACGAAGGAAAGGAGGAAAAAAGTAGGATTTTTACCGTACATCAAGCCAAACACGCTCTTCTATTCAAACTTCCCGAAATGATTGCTGCATATTTTTTTCACAAAAGTAAACACCCTTGCAACGTTAAAATTGTCCAATATGTCTGTGTACAATATTTTATGTTGCATAAGAAGGCAGCTGTTTTACGAAAGAGTAGTTCAACAACAATGATCCTGATGAAACGATTGGCGAGAAGATCATGACACTAAATATAGGAATAGCCTTGTACCATCTGGTTTGACCTGACGCAATCCCAATGAAACGATTATTGAAAAGAGTATAAGGCCAAATTTCAGCGTTAGTTTCGCTCCGGAAGCGAAACGTGGTTGCAAACGAAAACTGTTTGAATTAATGACCTACGCTACGCTCGAACGATTCATTCGCAAAGGAGCAGTGAAGATGCAAATCTCTGTGCGCTTCGCTGTGTTTCTCTTCGTGGCCGTGGATAAGTTCATCTTTCTTATTCCAACTTTTTGGTAATAACCTAAACTAATTACATTCTACAATTAACTTCGTGAAGTTGATCAAACGATTAGATGCGAAAAGTAATCAGTCGATTCCCACGTGGAAGCAATTTCGTTTAATTCCTTCTCGGAGGCTTTGTCTTCTTATTTTCTTCTTTCTCCTGGGAGTTTTGTTAGTTTTTACATAGTTTCGTTGCAAAGCGGGAAGTTTGGTTTCCTAGTTTCGGATCTAATTGGAAGACGCCATTAGTAAATTGACTCTGATTTCATTGCAGTAACATTCTCTGTAATCATTTGGCACTTGTAACTCGTCTTTCCCCTCCAATAAAACGATTATTGAAAATTATCTCTCCTACACTTCTTTTAGCTCTTTCAAGTTGTAGTCATTTAATTGTGTTTTTCCCAGACCCACATCTTGGCAAACTTGTCGATATACGACACAAGTTGAGAGAAACATTCGTCAATCAACTGGAGAGATTAGGGCGTGAACAACATTGTAATTCTGCTTTCTCAGCAATAAATACCTTAACGCTAACAGGAATCTTCTCAAATTGATGACTAGAGCTAGCGCTTTTCTGTAGTGCACATGCAACAGGGTCAAAGCTACTTGTCGTTTGATGAAAGGGATAAAGCGCTATCTTAGGCTGCTACACAGATACAACGTCGACTGTATAGCGTGGAAGAGAAGAGACGCGTTCGCATACTGACCCCGGAATTAAAGTGGGTAATTTTCAAGCTGTTTTGCGTAACTGATAAAGATCTGAACTTCTTTTGTATTCTCCGACGAGGTTTCAAACATCGTACTTCATCACAGCCAGCCAATCAGTGCACTGATGAAGGACTGAAGTGATAGCGAAATGTTAATTTTATGCTTATTGTTTCCACGTGTCCTGTGCACTGGTAGGATCATAGAAAAAATGTATTCAGGAGGAGACTATTTCATCATCATTTTATTGTCAGTCTGTTTGAGGAAGCTAATTTGCATTGTACATTCAATTTTGTTCTAATGTTCAGATGAAAAAATTTATAATTTAAATTTCTTTATCTGTCTCTTTCTGTTCCGAAGATGCCTTTCGTTTCTCATACAAATCACGGACCAGAAAGCGATCACGTAGTGTAGAGCACAATATCCTGTATTGCACAATATCTTGTCCACGCAAACATCTTGCGGTACCATGTCCGCATGCTTGTTCAATGACGGATAAAGAGTAATCTTACCAGCTAAAACCTTCCAAGTGGAGGCCTTAGGAAATAAGCTTTAATACACGAACAAATTGTGTTTTCAGCTTCATTACGTATCTTTCACTTCGACTCACTGTTACAAACATACCTTGCTAATTTGACCCTAATGTTAACATAAAACGACCCGCGTGATTTAGTCCACGTCGTTACGGCTCACTGGCAAATATTCACTATTTGAACTACTTGCTTGGGTAATAACATCCGCCACATTCCTCGTCATATTGACGAGTAAATTACTTCCCAGAGGCGTCGAAGCGTTTTGGACAAATAAGAAGGAAGGAAGGGGCGGGGGGAGTTGGGAAGCTGGGCAGTGCAATACAAGTCAAACACGCGCTTCTTCTCAAACATCCTAATGTGGATTCTGTATATTTCTCGGCACGCGGATTAAACTTCAATGC